CATTATATGGAGAAAATCCAGGAATGTTGTCATCAAAAACCTTCATTTCTTTTAGACTGAAGAAAGAAACACATGGATATCTTGGATGACATAAATTATCAGCAAACGTTTTCAGCAAAAATTATCAGCAAAAGTGACCTACTCCTTTAAGGTTGAAATACTAAAATAAGTAAAAGTCCACCAATAGGCCAATTTACGCAATTTTATTTCCTTACAAATAGGGAGTAGTGGGGAAAAAACGTCCATCTATATCTGTCTGACCCGGCGAACAAGAGAAGATTGAGAAGACAGACTATATTTACTGCTCTGTTTAGCGTGGCCATTAAGAAATGTCGTGTTCACAATGAGCAATCGTCTAGGTAAACTATAGACCCGATATAGTCTGGCTGAGTAACAAACTTATAGCCAAAATAACCTTGACTTTGATTACATGTCATTTTGCCTCAGTAATTCGTGAGATGTGTGATATTCCATCATGTAGGCAAAGTCAACAGTGATTGGTTTCATTTCTTTGACGTGTGATCTAACTGATGACTAGTCTATTATTGGGCGATGCTTTAGTCGTCTATTAAATCTCCACTGACAGCCAGACGTTGCCTTGTGTTAGTCTAGACATCTGGCTGTGTTTGGACGCTATTGGACGTCTTTTAAACGCAAATCTGAGATGTTTCAAAGCAAACCAGATTTATGGAGTCTGGTGTTTAGATATGTTATACGCAGAACTCTGCGTTATGATCCTGCATTATGATCGTTCTCTGCTCAGGACTGTGGAAGCAGGTTTCGGGGCGTCCTCTCTGTCATTGCAGGAGACGACCCCCCCGTTCCTCTGGCGTCAGGTCAATTATTCACCGAGAGGGAAACACACCTGAGTCCCAGCGGATCGGCTGATGTAGTGTCGGACAGCGGGAGGGGGGGTTCCATTGCAATGCCAGGTGATGATTCAGCCCGAGAGGTTCAGGCACTTCAGAGGTGACCTTCTCTTCCCAAACCATTCCCAGAGGAAGGATGGAAATCCATGTCAACTGTGTTTGTTTGCGGAGAGAGAGATAAGGCTACGTCTACATTCAGTCCCTCCAGAAAAACGCGATTATGCGATCGCTGAATTCAATGCAAAATCAGCCAAAGTCCGCATATTTATGCGGGGGCCGCATATTTTCAAATACGCCGCACTTTCGCCGCGTAAATTGCCGATTTCCGTGCAAAATATGCGGGGTTTGCATAATTTCATAATCCTCGCATTTTCGTTGCAAAAAAGTCAAGTCAAGTCAAGTCACATTTATTTATATAGCGCTTTTCAGATTGTAGATTGTATCAAAGCAGCTTCACAGTGATAACATGTAACTAGCACAACACAGATCAACAACATTGCTAAACACTAAATAACCCCAACTGAGCAAGTTTAAAGCAAGCCAAAAGCAAGGCGACAGTGGCAAGGAACCAAACTCCATCAGATTGGATGGAGAAAAAACCTTGGGAGAACCCAGGCTCAGTCGGGGGCCAGTTCTCCTCTGGCTTACATTCATATTGTTTAAATATAAATATTAAATATAAATATTGTTTATGAATCAAACTGCGCCATAACATATCGCAGGCGTTGAGTCGTCTCATCACAGGCGTTGAGTCGTCTCATCACAGGCGTTGGGGCATCCCAACAAAAAGTCACATGTATCTTAGCAGAAAGTTGAAAAATGTTGCGTTAGCTTCACACAAGAGCAGCCATTTCCCCCTGTTTCCATGGGAACGTTATGAAGTGACGCAATTACGCGACGCCAGACAGACTCACGGAGGCGATCGACATCTCACAAATCTAACTCGTATAACTGTCTGTCACACGTTCTACCGTCACATCATTACTTAATAAACAACATAAGATAAAAGAAGTAGCATCAAACAGAAATTACCCGCACACATGGGGCGTTCGAGGCGCATATAACACTGCAGAGAGCTCTTAAAGGGGCCACACCTTATTTACACTCGTTACAGTCTGAAATAAAACAAGATGAGAAATTAAATATTCCCAGCACTTTCCATGATGTAGTATGCTTGTTTATCAAAGGAAGTAATAAGAAATGACTCTTACATTAGCCGAGTGAGAACAGGATGTTGGGGGAATCACTTTTTTTCTCTTTTTCATCAAACCGCAATTTTTGCAAGTTCCTGAAATTTCATCGCATAAAATTGCATAAATATCCCGCATATTCCATCGCATTTTTAAAGAAAACGGGCCGCGTAATCAATCAATTTTTGACGCAACAATCACAAAAAAACTCCGCGTTTTTCTGGAAGGACTCAATACTATTATGGTAAATGTTATATATAAATCGCACATTTTTTCACAAATTTTTGGAAATTACCACCACAAAATCAGTCATTTTGATTGCAAAAATCACAACAAAAAAAAAATCGTGAAATCCTGGAGGGACTGTACATTCATCCGGATACATTCCAAAATGGCGTTTTCGTTAAAAAATCTCATGTTTTCCAAAAGTTTCTCATCCACACTGAAATTTGGGAAAAGGCCGAATACATCTCACTGCATAAAACACTCACTGAGATGATGCAGACGGGGAAAAAAGTTCCTTTTCACTCATAGATTGTTGTAGCAAAGCTTATAATTCAAAAGCATTCGCATTATTGTCTTCTGCGCAGCACTGATAAAAACACACACACACACACATGAAGGGAATATTTCCTTTTGATATTCATAGAGATCCTCAGCTAATTACTTATCAATATGAATCCAGAAAAACACACACAAACGCACAACATTTACACGGTCCAATCAGATCGCTTGCCTGCAATGTAACGAATCTATGAAGAGGACTGAATGTGCTGCTCTTTGATATCTACTCTTATAACATTTATTAAGAATTATATGCATATTTTATACTACTTTTTGTTTTCTATATGAACACCAAAACATATTTTACGTTAAATCTATTATTGTGCTGAAATCAATGGCTAACACTAGCAGACAAAAATTTGGAATAGTGATTTATAACGATTTTGAAAATAAGTATCTTCTGCTCACCAAGACTGCATTTATTTAATAAAAAATACAGTAAATATAGTGAAATATTATTACAATTGAAAGTTATTGTTCTCTATGTGAATATCTAGTAAAGTGTAATTTATTCCTGAATGTTCAGCATCATTACTCCATTCTTCAGTGTCACATGACCCTTCAGAAATCACTCTAGTAAGAAAATTATAATAAATGTTTCTTGATCACGTATTAGTGATTTCTGAAGGGTCATGTGACACTGAAGAATGGAGTAATGATGCTGAACGTTCAGGAATAAATTACACTTTACTGTATATTCACATAGAAAACAGATGATTTACACTGGAATGATACTTCACAATTTTTACTGTATTTATGATAAAAAAAACACAGATTTGGTGAACAGAAAAGAACATTTTAAAACATTACACATATTCCAAACTTTACTGTATATCTGTCTACGGGAAAGAAATACAAAACTAAATGACTTCCATAAACTGATCATGTAAAGTTCACTAAATCTTAATGAAGTCCGCCTGATGTCCAGAAGAAGGAGAGATGATCAGAAACTTCCCACAAGGCCATTCTGACGCCGTTCCTCACGTTGGCGTGACACATGCGCTCTGATCACAGGAACAAAGCCTTTGATTGATCATATTAACGTCCCTGTTGTAAAGATTTATGGATTTTAATCCCGCTTATTACCGCCGGCAGACTCGTAACATGTCTCGTCCTCATTATGAATGCGATAAGAGCAGTTGTTTACATGCAGGGTAATTTATGGCACAAGAGAGGGGAGATGGCAACTTCCTTCATAAGCATCATCACACACACACATCTGCTTGGGTACAGCTTTGATCAACTGCTTACACACACACACACGCTTTCTAAACTTTACACACACATCCAAGAACTGCACACACAAAATGCACATCGCCTCGCATAAAGCATTGCATTCAGAATATTACAAATGTAGTGCATCATTTTGCAAGAGACGTGAGGCGATGTGCGTTTTGTGTGTGCAGTTCTTGGATGTGTGTGTAAAGTTTTAACAAAAAAGAGGCAAACTTTTGAAAATGTGTGTAAGCATCAAAACCTGTACAGGCCTAAAATCTAAAGCCATGATTGGCTGGTGTTCAGTAAAGCGATGAGTGTTTGCACATGTGAAGAGTGTGTGTGTGTGTGTGTGTGTGTGTGTGTGTGTGTGTGTGTGTGTGTGTGTTTGTGTGTGAGGAGTTTGTGTGTGAGGAGTTTGTGTGAGTGTGTGTTTGCGTGAGTGTGTGTGAGTTTGAGGAGTGGGTGTGAGTGTGTGTGTGTGTGTGTGTGTGTGTGAGGATTGTGTGTGAGTTTGAGTAGTGTGTGTGTGTGTGTGTGTGAGGCTCTGGTGAATTACTGTGGTATTTTGATAGGTTGTGTTTGAAAAGGACATCAAGAGACTTCCTGTTAGATTATTGTGTGAATTGTGTGTAGTGGTTTACAAAAAGTGTGTGTGTTTCTGGTGGTCATGTTTCAGAAATTGTGACAAGAAAATATTTTGTGTGTAAGCAGTTGAAAAAAAAAACTGTAAAATGATAATAATAAAAAAATGGATGACATAAAAAATGAACAATATTTTGTGCCATCCCATAATATGTGTTTCAGACTGTATTACTGTATTCACAGCCACACACACTTACAGTAAAACAATAATCATTTGGTTTCACTCTTGCTTTCGCCTTTACCGTGAATCTCTTCAATCTTGTACAGAAATACACGTGAAAGAAGAGCTTCAGCTTCAGAATAACTGTGTGTATGACACATCCAAAAATATAATATTAGGGCACAAGTTTGCAACGTACATGTGTGTGTGATATTCTGAATGCAGCAAGAGACACGAGGCATTGTGTGTGCAATTCTTGGGTTTGTGTGTCAAGATAAAAATAAAAATAAAAAGGCCGAGTTTAGAAAATGTGTGTAAGCAGTTTTAAATAAAGCAGTAAGGGAATAATGTGCTGACCGTGTGCCGGACACACTGACGACTGCTGGCAGAAGCATGAGCGGGTCTGTGGTGTGTGTGTGGACTGGTCCGCCGCTGGGCCGGCATGTGCATCGCTCCGGGCGGGACACACACGAGCTGCCGGTCCTGCTGTTCCCCACACACACTCCTCCCTGCGCACTGGAGCGAGAGGAGAGGGACAACCTTAGAGAAGAAGACATGATCGCCACAGACGAAGATCAATACAGGAGAAACTACAACAAGTAGAATAATTCTATTATTTCAGTAATTCAACTTAAAAGCTGAAACTAATATATTATATAGACTCATTACATGCAAAGTGAGATATTTCAAGCCTTTATTTGTTATTATTGTGATTATTATGGATTACAGATATGAAAACCTTTTCACAATATTCTAATTATATCTTAAAAATATTTTGGTAACACTTTACAATAAGGTTCATTAGTTAACATTAGTTAATGTATTAACTAACATGAACTAACCATGAGCAATACATATGTTATGGTATTTGTTAATCTTCGTTGATGTTAGTTAAAAAATAAAAAATAAAGCTGTTCATTGTTTGTTCGTGTTAGTTCACAGCGCATTAACTAATGTTAACAAGATTTTAATAAAGTATTAGTAAATATTGAAATTAACGTTTACAAAGATTAATAAATGCCGTATAAGTGCTGTTCATTATTAGTTCATGCCAACTAATGTAGTTAACTAATGTTAACTAATGAACCTTGTGTTACCAATATTTTTAATTTGGGGTTTTCATATCTGTAATCCATAATCATCACAATCATAACAAATAAAGGCTTGAAATATCTCACTTTTAACACACATATATGGAGAAATATATAATGTAATATATTTCTTAATTATTTACATTATAAATGTTTGATATTTTCAGCTGCATTATCACTGCACAGGACAGACATTACTGCTCAAATATGGTCATTATAGTCTTAATGCTATACGTGCAATATACTTACACACTTTGTAAAGCTATTTTTTCTTCATTTATAAATATTGAATTATTTTAGACGAATATGCTTGCGCTCTTTCACCAGCTAGATATTCTTCAAATAATGTAGGCCACTTTTTAGATTGCTGCTTTTTTGTATTGCAGTATATTGTGACACTCACACTAGTTTCGCAGTATATCGCATTATGTCTTGCAGTATATTCCCATATTTGAGTCGCGTAAGAGGATGAGAACGGGTGCCAGAGAGACAGGTGAGGACCCGACGGGGTTTAGACACAGGATCGTCTCTCCAACTGTTGATGTGTCTTAATAACAGTGTGTGTGTGTGTGTGTGTGTGTCAGCTGTCGCCAGCGAGAGTCAGTGAAGTGTGCAGATCCAGTCTGGGACCAGAGGCTCGCTCCTCACACTCTCGCTTTTGTTCAACAATCAGGCCGGCTGACTGGCCTTTGTGTTCGTGGAGGACGAGCCGACTGGAGGACGTGTGTGTGTGTGTGTGTGTGTGTGAGAGAGAGAGAGAACGGGCGTGACGGAGGACGAGCTGATGTTACGCCACACACACCATGGGCTCCTACAGCGAGAGGACATCTAAACACTTTCTGTACTAGCTCAGATATTACAGCGAGACATTTCCTGCAAACAGGTGATGTCGAATATTTGCCAAGTTATGATTTAACTCTTTCACCGCCAGCGTGTTTCATCACTTTCACAACACTTTCACATTATTGAATGTGTCTGTGTCTGTGTATGTGTGTGTGTCTGAGAATGTGAGTGTTTAAGAGAGTGTGTGTGTCTGTGTGTGTGTGTGTGTGTGTGTTTGTGTGTGTAGCCATGTTTCCATCCACTTGTCAATCGAATTATCTGAAGTTCGGTTAAAAAACTCATGCGGATAAAGCTGGTGAAAGTGTGTTTCCATCCAACGGCTTTAAAGTGAATAAAAACCTGTACGTAATGACGTCACATGCTGTTTTGCGATCAAATTGGTATATCGAACTGATTTGAGACATTTTAAGGTGTTTCCATTCATTTTCGCACTGAATCGAACAACATTCAAGCAAACTTTTGCGAACAAAGTTTTGTTAGACAAAACGGATCGCGCCATCGGTAACACTTTACAATAAGGTTCATTAGTTAATGTATTTACTAACATGCACTAACCATGAGCAATACATTTGTTCATCTTTGTTAATGTTAGTTCATGAAAATCCAGCTGTTCATTGTTTGTTCATGTTAGTTCACGGTACATTAACTAATGTTAACAAGATTTTAATCAAGTATTAGTAAATGTTGAAAATAACATTAACAAAGATTAACAAATGCTATTCATTATTAGTTCATATTAACTAATGTAGTTAACTAATGTTAATTAACGAACCTTATTGTAAAGTGTTACTGCGCCATCTACCAACAAATGATCAATATTTCACAAGTTGAAGGCTAATAATGCTTATGTGCCAGCTGATAGCGTATGGGATAATGTATGCGAGGCGGTTGTTGAAGGGGTTGTATTCGCTATAAAAACCGCCTCGCTATATATTATCCTGCTTATTACATATCAACCAAATAAATCAATAAATCAATAATTTGACTCAAAACAGAGCGGGACTGGCTGGAAATGAACTCGTCTTCTGGCGTGTTGCAACCATAAAAGGGCCTAAAACTTCGCAATTCATTATTTATTCGGCAAATAACGTTTCCATCATCAGCTTTTATCGCATTAGCCGTATATCGATCAAGAGAAAATCCGATGAGACCGAACGCATTTCATTAGAGTCGATTTTCATGAAATTTCATCGAATTTTACTGTTTCCATGAGGCATTTTTCATTCGATATCACTTAATTCGGATAAAAACGTGTCGATGGAAACATGGCTTGTGTGTGTGAGTGTGTGAGAGCGTGTGTTTGTGTCAGTGTGTGTGTGTGTGAGAGAGAAAGAACAGAGCCTCTGCTTTTAAACAAACAAACACATTTTTTTCTAGCTTCAATCATTATTTTTTTAGGATTGTTTTTTTAAGGGTTTTGAAGAGAAAATCATGTTTTTTGTGGAAGACTGCATCCGGATCAGATCCAGAGCGACGATCAAAACACAGATGGAGTCGATCGAGTCCAGCAACACCTCAACGCTTCAGTCCTAAAGCTCGTCCTGGGTCCACATCTCATTCAGGAACATCAGCAGTTCTGATTTATATAAGCTTGTTGAATGATTGAGATATTTGACATGTGCGTCAGCAATGCTTCTATCGCTCGTTTCTGCTTCTTCTTCTTCTTCTGTGTTTTGATCGGGACATTCTGTACTCTTTCAGTAGATGCGTAACAGCGCCCCCTACTGTATAACACTGGAAAGAGCCAGAAAAACGCGCCAATGAGAGATAAAAGTCTCAATACGAACTCAAATATTTCTCATCAATGATCTAAACTGCTTTACATTCAATGTAAAGCTTGTTACTTGACAACGAGCGACTGAGGAATTCCAGTAGAAACATCTGAGACAAAGACGAGACTCAAATGAGCATTGACAGCATAAGATGTAGTATAAGTCACAGTTTCTAAGAGTTTACACGTGCATCGTCCCGATTTTCACATGTGCGATCTCTTATCTAGCTCAGTTATTTCTCATAGACAGCAATGCACTCAAGTTTACTGAAGTCTTGACAGATGGAGAAATACCACAGTATAATCCTACTTCAGAAAAGAGCTCAAACTGTGCTCAGGTTTGCCAAAACACCATCAACTATAATGAACTCACACACTTCTGAGCTACTCTACATTAATGTCACTCACTCTATACTCGTACTCTAGCATATCGGTATCGGCCGATACTTGTTCATTTTTAATATTATCGTTATCGGTCCTGATAAGAAAATTTGTCTGATATATTAAAGCCAATAAGTAATGGATTTTTCCTTCAGCTGAGACACTTTAGATGTGATGCTTCTGAATTGCTTAAAATATGATTGAAATCACTTCAAAAAAGGCATTTCAGTCATATCGGCTACATACAATTATAACGAGAACATTATAATTGTGTGTTTGGGCCGTGGCTTTTACTCTTATTTTTGTAGTCAGGCTCTCAAAATTATATAAAAATTTGGATTTATCGGTCGATATATCGGTTATCGGCTTTCAAGTACAAAGAATGATCGGTTATCGGTTAAAATATTTAAATCGTTGCATCTCTAACGACTAGGATTGTGTTTGTCTATTTTAATTCCTAACGAACTTTAGGAGAACGAACCGAGACTCAAATGAGCAACGATGCTGTAATTCTAGTTACAGCTTCTATAAATGCCATCATGACTTTCAAACAGAAAAGCATTGTGGGATAACGCGTAAGCATGTCATATCAGAAACAGCATGCAAAATATCCCAGATTAGAGGGTTTAGGTGACCCTACATGAATATTCATAAATATGCATGAGCTCACCGAACTACACAAACAAAACAAAGCCTCTTGCTTCTCGTGTCCCCACAAAATTAAGCATTTAATCAGTTTGGCCCTTCACCGCGACACCGTCTCCGCGCCTGTCACAATTAATGACGTCTAATTCGAACAGCAGACGTGTGACTGATACGTCCATTACAGGCACAATGACCACATGCCCGTCATTAATCAATCGCATCCAGATCATTGTGCTGATGATCTTCCCCACAGAAGTGTGAAGACATTTCTGTTCATGAACGCTGCCAAATCGCTCTAGGGCACATACTGGTACTGTCAAGATGGATAGAAAACACACAAACACATAGTTAAAGGAACATGAAGATTGTTATTATTTACTCACATCGGTCCAAACTGGCAAGCTGGTATTTTCTCAGTGAAACACAAAAGCAGAGATGTTGAAGTGCATTACGTAAAAGAGGTTAATGTTTCTTCTGCTCACTAAGACAATCAGATATACAGTCAAATATTATTATTCCAGTGTAAATCATCTGTACTCTATCTAAGTGTAATTTATTCCTGAATGTTCACCATCATTACTCCAGTCTTCAGTGTCACATGATCATTCAGAAATCACTCTAAGATGAGTTATTATCAATGATGAAAACAGTTATCTTTGTTTTTCAGGATTTTTTGATGAATAAAATGACCTTTTATAACATTATAAATTACTTTGCTGTCACTTTTGATCAATTTAGGATACTTCACCTCTGGAAAGATGAATGTGTATTTAAAATGGGTCATTTATGTTGAGCTTTCTAGA